CAGGTTTCAAACCTAAGACCTTTGCTAGGGTCATGGACTTTATATCTGATAAAGGTCACCCTTATTAGTATTAGTGTTTTATCAGATATAGTTTTATCAGATATAAAGGTCCCTGCATGTGACCGAATAGGCTCATTCTATTGGCCTATTAGGCCATTAATTATGTATGAGTTTTTGAACTTGGAATAAACAAAGCAACCAAAACGATAAGTTAAATACAAATGTGTCCCAAATGGTTGAATCAAGCACCAATTAAAAAGTAAGTACGTTATTTGAAAGCTAAAATTTAAGCAGGGAAATTCTAGCTAATTTGAACATTAAAATTATCAAAATCATTCTTTTTTTTATTATTATTAAAATTAATAACATCGATAGTTGTGTTTTTGGGTATTGCTTTACATTAGTTTTGGCCATATTAATATTTTTAGCTTTTTACTAAAGTATACCAAATAATGTATATATTCATTTATTGTTCTTGTTAATGTTTTCAATCATGAATTCAGAACCATTAAATAAAAACAATCTCTATCCAACTCTATTTTTAGATCTAACGTTAATTGAAACAATGTCCCTTGAGAGATTTTCCGTCTTGATGCACCTAACTGTGTTTTTTAACGAAATCCCTCTGAAGAAGTCGTAGCGCCTCGATGAAGTGAACTTGAAAAGTACTCACATCATGTAATTCACGCACTGTATTTATAACACACCGGTAACATGCAAGAGTAGGTTGAGTCTAAAGACCTGAACTTTACGTTGTCAATCTCTTCATAACGGCACATCACTGATTTCGGCGCTGTACACGTGTTTCAGGCAACATGAAGGTCACACAACGGTACTATCTGTGCTTGAGCTTGAACATCGAGTCAAATTGGGAGTACTTTGAGTGTTCGGAAGATCGTTTGTTGAAGCACAATATGCTTCGTTCATAATGGAATAGTTGTTTGTGGAGTCCATGGTTCTAGACTAAAAATGAATAAGAATTAAAGAGTCAACACTAAAGAAACGTTTTTAAAAGGGAACAAATGACAAAATGCAAGGTGAATAAAAGGTAGGGATGAAGAAAGAATCAGTGGAAAGAAAGACACGGAAGAAGGTAAGGATATATACAAGGAAACAGCAACAGCAACAACAACAACAACAACAACAACAACAACAACAGCAGAAGCAGCATCAACAACAGCATCAACAACAGCAGCAGCATCAACAATAGCAGCAGCAGCAACAACAACGACAACAACAACGACAACAACATTAACAAAAAGGAATGAAAACGTAAACAAAATATAAGTGTAACTTTCAAATATCACTTGTAAAGGAGTTTTGAGCTTTAGACTCTGAAAGGCAAAACACCACGTAACTCACGTCGTTTTCGTTGCAGGTTGAAGGCCTTTCAATTTCAGGTAGATCATCTAAGTCATAGTGTCTACGTCTACAAGGAAATTAGAAAATAAATTCACAATGTATTGCGGAAAATCTAAAGCATTCTTGACAATTATATTTGGTTTTTATTTCTCTCTCTAATAATTCAGTATTTACTATTGGTTTCTTCTTTCGGTTTCAAACTTTCTTTCTCCTTCTCTTTCTCCCTTGTTTTCATTTCTCCCTTTCCTTTATTCGCCTCAAGCTTTATATGAAACACAACGAAGCTATTGAAAAGCAACTATATTGTTATTAATGACTGGCAATTGCCTATTTCATAATGACGTCACAGTAAGATGCTCAAAAACAGTGGAAATTTGAACCATTTATATTCTCTCCGAAGGTAGAACTTCAATGTATCATGTTTTGTGATATATGTCATGTATTAAAGATGGCTCATGCAGTCACTCTGACCCCCTCTAGCGAATGTTAGATGTGATGTGATGTTATAATGAAATATCGCAAATTGGTTCGTTAGTTGAAGGGGTACAATAATCCAATCCAATCAACACACCTTGGATAATACCTTCGGKAAAACCAAACAGCCAGAACAAAGGCAAAAATACCAATTAATGGAACGATAATGTTAACAGCGTAGTTCATTTTTCTGTCGCTTTTGGGTACCTCTGGTTTGTGTGGCGGATCTGGAAAAGAAAGAGAGATGAAAGAAAAATAAAGAGAAAATCAATACAAAAATAGAAGCACGTTAGACAATAGACAGCAGCTATCAATTTTTACGTTATATCAGTAAGTTGCGAGGTCAACAGCTTTCTCCAAAGTTTCAAACTCACTGTTGTGCTTATATATTTTTGCAGTCATTTTTATTCTAGTGAATAATATTAAAGAATTAACTTGTAAATTTTTATTCAGTACACTGATATGAGCTAGCTTAATAAGCGTCTCTTCACAAGGATAAGACAAATTCAAATGAGAGAGTTCATCAACCAATGTTATTGTGTGACCATACAATACCTTTTACAACTAAAGCCTTCAAGGAAACTGGGTAACTCTTCCTTCCACATCCACCACCAGTGCAAGCTTGTATAGTAAAGCTATAATTAGCCATTTCTAAACTTTTAGTTACCAAACTGGCATTTCCTGCAGCTACTTCTTCCGTAAGGGGTTCAGCATGTGGTTTGTCTAAGTTGTGAATTATAACTTTGTATAATTCTAGTTTTCCACGAAGAATCATGGCATCTTCAATTTCCTGTCATGAGACAGTTTATTGGTTACTACTACTCGAAGTAAACAAACAGGGTGTCAATAAACACTGGAAAAAATCGCGCGCTTTAAAGGTTGTAAATTTGATGTAAATATGATGTAAGTGTCCAAACTTCTGTAAATTTGATGTGAATGATTGTCATTAAATTTACAGAATTTTGGACACTTGCATCAGATTTACATCAAATTTACAACCTTTAAAGCGCGTGATTTTTTTTCCAGTGAAACAGTCATCAAACCACGCTACGCACAAATGAATGCAACTGATGTCAAAGATTCCTCGATGARTTCATGCATTACCTACCCTCCAAGCAATCAGAGCGACTCCTTTCTCCTTAGAGGACTGTTCATCAAGCCACCGGATAACCACTACAGTTGGCGCCTTTGAAGGAACTGAAAATATAAAGTGAAAAAACCATAAGTTGAATGACAGTGAACTATAGCAAACTGCAGGTATTATCTGGACTGGTCTTCTAGCAATACAAACAACAGTGCTACAATTGATACTGTGGGGAGCCCCCTCGTGTATCTTTGCACTATAATCATCTTGGTGTTAACATACCATCTTGCTTGGTCCACACCGTAACAGTTGATGGTGATGATTCGAGATCATAGATTTTACAGGAAACATGTATGGTGAGCTTGGTGTACGGAAAGAGAGAACGTATCGTGTAGTTCGTGTAACGTCCTGTACGGGTTAGCGTCTAATAAGGAACAAACAATAACAATTATGAAATATCATCATTATCATCATCATCATCATCATCATCTTACCGTCATTTTCATTGCTATTACATAAAATATACAATCTTGGAGCAGGATATACTCTAAGATGAGAATATCGATATTCACCCAATAAATTGTTATCCAGTGCAAAACTTTATACACTGTTTAAAACCGCACCARTCCCATATGGTAAACAGGATTAAAAACGTGTAACGTGGTAGTAAAGATATCAAGAGGACCGATCATGCAAAGTGCACAGGAAGGGAAATTGATGTAAGAGMAAGAAGCTTGAAAAGTGAGTAAAAAGAATTTCAAATGCATCATTTACTTACTTCCATTTCACTTCCACAATCAGGGCTGCACCATATCCGATGGATAAGAGAAGGTATGCTTGAATTTGCCATGCATTTAGGTGTTTTCCAGCCAACAACTATACTAGTTGTTTTTACTTCATTAACCTTTAGCTCGTCAACCTTTCCACATTCAGCTGAGAAAAAAATGCTGACTGATTATTCTCGTTGTAAAGGAATGGAACATTTCAACCGTATCATTCTTTGTCAGGTTTTGATATATTTGTAAAAAAAGAGTGCAWATACTTAAAGGGCGAAAAACTTCAGTGTTTCAGTGTTTTTACTCAATCATGAAATTCAGAGTTAAGAATGTGCAAAATACTGAACAAAAGTAATCCACTGTTTAAGAATTTAACAATAAGAATTGACTGTTTCGGCCACATTTTTTGTTGTTGCTACTGAGACAGGCAATTTGTTTGGGTGATATAAACTGACATGTCGAAGTGAGGAAGGGAAACCATTACAGCTCACTGAACTATTTCAGAGATTCCATTGAGTAGGAAGAATGTCTAACAATAATAATATTTACCTTTCTTATGAATACTCCATATCTCTGGTAGTTTTAAGTATTTGCGACCAAATTTATTAGTTATCATCACTGTCGCACACAGAAAATCGCAATCAATGCCTGCACAATTATGTTTAATGGGGAAAAGCTTTTTCACTGTGGAGCTTACATCTGCCTGAAATGTCAAGTTTTTCATGGTTCTAAATGCTTGAGTTCTCTGGTCGGCAATTTGAAATTGCTGATTTGAAGAAACGGTGCAAAGGTTTTTCGATAAGTTACTCCAWGAGGGGTGTGATAGAAGAAGCTTGATTGTTATAGGGTAAGCAAGTGGCGATGCTGAAGGAAGTTCATATGTTATAACTCCAGCAACAGGGGGAATGCCAAACAAGTGGTTTAGAACAGGAGAAGATGGTTCAGGTGGAGTATCTGCAAATGAAAATAGACGTATGATTATAGAATTATATCTTTTCTCAAATCCTGGAAGGTAATAGAAAAGCTAACAGTCATAGAGACATGGTGTGGGAAGCTTTCTTCACACATCACTTGACGTTGCCAATATAGTTCTGTGTTATTGCTACTTGAATGGCATGAATGAATGTCAGAATGATGAAATAAGGGCAAAATACATAAATAAGAAATAGATGAATAAATATCACATTTGAAAAGTTTACAAAGCTTGTCTGAATATTATGTAAATAAACTGTAAATCCAATCTACAGTTAACATAGTCTTCCACAAATTTTGTAAATTTTATGTACATTCTGTAAATATCCTGTAAATTTTGCTGTATCAACATTGCAAATATCTTGTAAATTTTGCTCGATCAAAAATTGTAAATATCTTGTAAAATCAGAGCAGGTTAACTGTCAATTGATCAATTTTCAGTAAATTAATGGAGTCTGAAAATTGATCAATTTTTGCAGTGTCAAAGAATAATTGCATCAATCTTGTGGACTCACCCCCAACAATAACCTCCACACTTCGCTCAGCTATTTTCACACCTTGATTGTTTCTTGCAAGACAAACATAATTTCCTGCATCATTGTATCTTAGTCTGGTAATATTCACCAAAGCAATAATGGTGTGCACTGTGTATAGAGTTTTACTGTTCCACGACCATTCAAGAGAAATGTTTGTTCTAGTTCTATTAAAACCATAAATACACTTTAGATGTAGTGAAGACCCGGCAGCTTTATACTGAACATCTTGGACTGGCTCTATACGCAAATCTAGAGAGAAATAAGTAATTGTTATTTAGATATTCAAATTGACATATTTTATTACGAGTATAGTATATGATGGAAATCCTCTGAAACCAAAACTAATCGCAATAAGTGAAAAAGAATGCGAAAACAATGACATTGGAAACTAGTTGACCAAGTCAACCAAAAGAATAAACATTTTCGTGTTTGTTTGGAATGAAATCAATACACCTCTATGAATGAATATTAGTTGAATAGAGAAATCAATGGATTTGATGAAGAATGTCTTAATGTCCTAATGAATTAAACTAAAAAATTCTAATATGTAAATATCTCTCAAAAAAATATTTAATGCTTAACAATTTACATAATTATTCAAAATTTAAACAACAATGGAAAGGTCACGCGACAGAACCTCGAATCGTGCCTGCACGATTAAGATTTAAATAACGGTGCTCCTCTTCGGTTGGCAAATAATTTTTTTTAGCAGATTGACGAGCAAATTCAGTGAAAGATACTTTCAAACCTTTATGCTGCGAACAAAACAAATTGACAGTGAAATAGTGACTTCGTTTTGCCACAAACCGGAAACGTTGGTGTCTACTAGAAAGAGAACTTTTCTCCCTTCCATCGGACAACTATGCAGAATTTCCTCGTCACTTAAGCGTAGCATCGYCTGCAAAATGTTTTTGAAACATCGGTATATCGAATACATATTTTCAAACTTGTGGAAGCAGTTRCATCTTAGAAAGCATGCTGACTAAATCATYTTGCCTAGGTCCGATTATCATACATTCCTACAACTAAAAAAACACAATGAAAAAGAAACACAATCTTACCTAATTCAGCTGATGATATCTCCAATCCACAAAGAAAACTTGGAGCAAAAAACAAGAGCAAGAAGAACCAGCTACTTGTAGCCATTCTTAATAAACGAAGTCATCTCGGTTCGGATTACAATTCATAAGTCAACAATTAACTGAACACATGTCATGTTCTATTAATACAACACTCAGTTAAACATTGATTCATAGTTGATGGAAACAAGTGTTACTTTTCTTATGTGCGTTGAACGGATTGTTATTTTTATCTGTATATAATTACAGGAAAGTGAAAGTGAGCGTTTCTTTACCCTTTTTTACATTCATGTGTAACAAAGTTTCACTTTGTTTCGCTGCCTGTACCGACCCGTACTGATACCTGATATAATTAAATTGGGCAAAAGGGTCAAAACGTCCGTATTCATGTTCTCACAAGTCCACAGTGAAATTAAACATTGTGAAAATGTTAAATACCAAAAGGAAAAACGCTTCTTTGTGGAGATGTGTTTAAGTGTACACACAAGTGCATCTTTCCTGGAGAAGCGTGCCTTTTTTAAGAATCAAATCAATTTTTCATTTTGGTGAGTATTTTAGCTCTGGGAAAATGGCAAATGATCTCTGGAACCACGTATCGAGAAGGAATGCGGAAAAATGACTGGAGCGTGCTAGCTGTCACTCCCGCCTATAAGAATGGAAAGTAAAACTAATAAACATTAAAATAAATAAAATATTATTGCTTGAGTTTTGCACTGTTTATAGTGAGAGAATTGTCAGCTTGTCGAAAAGCTTTTACTTTTCTTTTAATAAAGGAAAATCACTTTAAAGATGTCCAGTATAACAAAGCCAGAGTTCAACACATGACGAAGAAAAAAATCAATGGTTATCAGCTATAGATGGTTATTTATTTAAACGATTTTTACCCCATACCTGACCATTATTTACGATCATGCATTCCATGTGATTGCAGCGGTTCAACCTCCCAAGAACCCCCTCCCCTCCCCCCAGATGAAACTGATCTTGACGTTACATCCGTCACATCGTTACATGTATGGAGTGCAGGGTTTTTTTTTTTGTACCCCTATTTCTCAATTCAAAACGAATCAATCATTTCAATTATCATCATTTCAATTATTGTTCAATTACAAAGAGGAACCTAGTCTCCCGCAGTAATACTTCAAACAGGAAGCCCAAGCTCAAAGGAGTCGATCCAATCACACCTCGTGTTATTGATGTGTCTTACTGCATTCTTTATGCCAATCATCCACGGAATATGGGCTTGCTATTTTACGGAACCTGACACAAGTAAGAAATAACAAATCCTTCATAAGAAAAAAAATACTTCACATTATTGAAACAATGATTTGATATATAGAATTGAAAATGAATAATTTGGAAAAATAAGAAGAATACTGGAGAAGGCAAAACAGAAGGAAAAAGTAAAATTATTAGATTCTACTAAACACTTACTTTTCGAATGGACATATTGTGGTGTTCACTCCAGGAAGTACTTGTTCCTAATGCAAAGAAATATATTTATTAGCGGTACGGAATGTACACAGGGAGGTATTGACGCGTGTCAGCACTTAAGTATAAGTGACTAAGTAAACGAAGTTTTGCAATACCCATCCCATGGGTATTTACATATGCAGAGTATTTAAGGTGAGTCATGAATGAATTGCCATTCGAAGGCATCTCATCGTTAACACAAATCTTAGTTTTTTTTTGTTGTTTTTTTTTTTGTTGTTTTTTTTTTTTTCGCGAGTCTTAGTTCTCCATCAGCTCGTCCAGCCTTGGAACACAATGAGTGATAGCTTCTTTGACTGGAGTCGTCAAACAATGCCGTTTATAATTTGTATATGACCACTTGTATAATGCATACTTTTCAGTTGTCAAACTATCAGGCATGAATAAACGAGATGCCCGCCCCTACTATGTTGTCTGGTCTTATTATTTGAATGGAGTTTAGGTAATAAATGTTTTATACTCGTTCATAAGTGAATAGAGTATAATACAGAATACAAATTTTACACTTTAAAATTTTTTTCACACCAAGTACTCCAAGAGTAAAATAAGATCATTAGATTAATAAACATGACCCTTCATTAAAAAAATCAACATATAATTTACCTTTCCTTGAAGTAAGACCTTTACAAAATATTCATCATTCTAGACAATTAAGCAATGAAATGAAAATCATTAAGAAGCACTAGACTCTCTGCTAGAGGAATGAAGAAGAAGAAGAAGAAGAAAAAGAAGAAGAAGAAGAAGAAGAAGAAAAAGAAGAAGAAGAAGAACAACAACAACAAGAGCGATTAAAATGGAATATCATTTCTTTGTTCTTGAATCCACATGAATTGGATTTAAGCAAAACAAACATATTCTTTTTATACTCTAGAGGTTTGGTGCTAGAGCTAAGTGTTTATAAATGTATAAATAAGGTTCCAACCTTGTTTTTATAGAGTTCCAGTGCCAAATCTGCAGCAAAGTCTACCCATTTGTTGACCTCCAAGCCAAGAGACACCATTAAGCATACTAATGTCGTGTCATGTACAGAATACAGGCATATCTTGTTTTGTGTATGACTGAAAGAGATTAATTTATGAACAAATTATAAGGAATGTTATAAAATTTTTGATATATAACGCACACTCACACTTTGATTGGCTGACAACCGTGTTTATATCAGAGGACAGAGACACGGCTTACTGGCAAAATTTTCTTTTCGCTTGAAAAAGTTTATAAAAGAAATAGAAAACGGCCGCTTGTGTCTCTGTCCTCTGATATAAACACGGTGTGAGTTGAAAAACACTCGAGGAGCAAGAGAAACACTCGCTAAGCTCGTGTTCCTAGGCTTGCTTCTCTCGTGTGTTTCAAACTCCCACTGTGTTTATATCAGAGGACAGAGACACGTGCGTCGTTTTATATTTCTTAAATACAATTTAACAGGCAGAAATGCTAATATTCTTAAAAGGTCTTTCTTCACGATAATTGTTCTGACACTTATAAATGACCAGAAATCAACATGATTGATTATTTAACAAAGTTTACACCCTCAAAGTCACAAAAGACATCCCATCATCCTTTGTTAACTTGCTTATTTGTAATATAGTCAGAGCAGTATGTATTACAGTCAGTTTGCCTTTCATGTGAAAAATGAAACACAAATTACCTTTTTTGAGATATCTTATCCTTCATACGATCTACAAAATCCTCTAATACTTTTCCAACCCCAAGACGAAGAACTTCATGTCTTAAGAAATAAATAAATAAATGAGATAAAATAACTGAAAGGGTGGATAGATGGTAGCCTCCTCCACAGGCAACTCTTTTTTCCTCCTTTGGGCTTCCTTTGTAACGGTCATTTCGGCCGTTAGGGACTAGTGACGAGATAGCAAAAATAAAATCTCGCCCCCATTCTCCCTCTTTTGACTCATCAAAAAGACAGGAAGCCCGTGATTCTTAGTGATGCCTGCGGAGGAGGCTAGATAGATGGATAAATGAGCAAATAAATGAGAATTTGACATTTCCATACCTTCCATGCGGGTGACCACACTGTATTGACAGAAGCTCCTCAAGAGCATGCTTTTCAATGATATCTTTATGTTTTAACAAAACAGGAGAGATAGGCATCTTATGGGCCTGAAAGGAAAGAATTGTTTTACTATTGTTTTCACTATATTTATATTGGATGTTTGTAGCTTTGCTGCAGATTCTTTATGTCTGTCAAATGACAAATTATCAGGCTGAGTGTTTACAAAAATAAATTTGCAAGCTTTGGTTATACAAAAACAAAATTACTTTAGTTCAGACAGCAATACAATTGATGAACTGGGATGAGACAGTGGATGTAGGGCTCTGTTAGTTGGAATTTTTATATTATATATTATATTGACATCGACAGACGCTCACCTCTTGTGCAGCCATATAGTCCCTCAAAACCACAAAACCAAATTTCTTATCTGTAATACCAAGATCCTCCATTATAGACAAACGATTCTTCTTGTATTCATGGCTTGAAAGRGCATCTGATCTCATTGCCATCTTTGCCCACTTAGTTAGAGCAAAACAACTCATCATATTTGGATAGATTGTTTCATCTTTCTCTGATTGTGTAACCATAGTTACTACCCCTTTCAAATACAAAATAAGTGTCAATTCAGCAAAATGGCACAACAACCAAATTACAATGTACTTGTGTACTAGACAGGATCTTAAAGAGGTTAGCCGGGAGTTTTAACTGCATGCATTTATGTTAACTAAAGATTGACTACAAAGGGCAGAAATAAACAATAAAAACTCAAGACATGAAACACTCAATCATACTGGAATTGGAAGGGCATGCTTTATTTCCAGGCAGGCTACCACAGGTAACCCAACTTGTGATARAATCACTCCATAGATGTGTTGTGAAGTGAGAACAACTCATTATTCCTAAAAAAATACAACATGGATAAATTGTCTGTAATTACCATTGATATTTTGTTGCCCATACAATCCAGCCAATACACACCTTGCAGAAAGGACAGTTCTCTCTATATTACTAGTTCTAACACTAAAAGAGAAAAACATTTAAAAGTAATGAAAATGGCCAAAAAGGTTTTGTGAACTTTAGGTGATGCTTCCCGTGGACATGAAGTATAGCCAGATATTAGACCATGAAATTGTGCTCAGTTGCCAGATTTCCTGAGAAATATCATGTGTGGATAAAGTTATATACACATGATAAACTCATGGACATCATGACATTGTATGGATTTTATCCAATGGAATTGGATTTATCCTGTGGATAAATCTACATGTAGTCACCCTTTTGACAACTGGTCCCTGCAGACTTACTAGACTTCATGAGGAGTCATAATTGGTTGCAAGAACTGAATGTCTTTGATATATCTTTGATGAAGTCTTTTGCCAAGCTCATACATTTGTTGCTGRCCCACTGTGGTTAGAATTCCTGCTTCCGTTCCACCCTACAGAAAAGGAAATTACAGTAACTGGGAACTTTCACAACCCTCCTATAGTCTAAACATCCCAACACAGTCACTCCCCACATTACACCTGTCCTTAATTATCCGTCTATCAGTGGCTTCCCCCTGGAAGTGACCCCCAGGAAACCCAGGAAACCCAGGGGAAGTGAGGGGTTCTTTCACTGATTGTAATTCATTCCTGATTTGCGATAATTGATCCCCCCTGAAATCCCTGGGTACATTTGTCATTCCTATTCTACGCTTCACCCACGAGAATTTCATTAGGTTTTATGGAGCATTTTGACAAATCTGCCCCCAGGGGAAAGCCGCTGATAGACGCATTAAGTATTTTAGATTCCAAATAGGTGGTTCGATTATCTGTAATTGAAAATCCAATTCTTATTAATTAACCAAAGGAGTAGGTCTTTCAAAATGCCTTTCACAGTACAGTACCTCAATCCTATTAACTCAACTCTAACTTATATAAAACTTAAGCTTTAAGTCAAGCAATGGATTATATTAACTTAAATCATTAAATTATTATGTTACTTACTGGCCAAACTGCTTTTTGCTGTTTCTTATCATAATTTGATTCTGGTCTCTTTCCGCCATCCATACTCTTGACTCTATAATTAACTAGAGTATGAGAAATATCTCCTTGTAAAATGTTTCTATCCCAGATGATGGTTTCAGGMTTGAAGTCCTTCATATCTGGAAGCGGGAAGATGGGAGTCCTAGCACCGTGTCGAAAAGCTACTTGTATATGAACTAACTGATAGTCATCTTGTATTTCCTTTGCTAAAAGTACGTCTCTGCGGCGTTTAGATATCGTTTGCAACGATTTAAAAGAAAGGAAGGCTGCTACAGCAATGCCACTGACTTTACCATAAAATGCAGCCATCTTGTTCGGTATGTTTGATTTATGGGCTGCCTGTGGAATATTCAATACGTTAGTGGCATGGAGACGAGCGCGTGAATATGAGCGAGTTTATAATATGAGCGAGTTTTTTTTCTTGAATATGAAATTATAAACTGCACTATTTTAGTTTCTTTCTTGTCCATGGTAGAGTTTCAGCTTAATTCGAGAACATTTGCGAAAATACAAAAAGAAGGCAAATGAGAAACAACAACAACAACAACACAACAATAACAGCAGCAGCACTAAGAGAGACTATGGGAGTGAATACGTTTCTGGATGCGATATTTAACGTCTAATCGTGCCTGGCATCGCTTTCAGACAACGGGTTTCCAAATTGATAGATTTGACTGATTCATGAAAATATTAATTCATGGTGTAATCTTTTCAGTAAATGCGGGCAAGTAAACTCCCCCTCGCCCTAGCCCTCTCCCCTCTACATATACCAAAACTTGAGCGACAACTTGATATTGAGTAGTATATCCCGGCCTCAATAGACTGCCCGAACCATCTTGAAAGGTAGGCGTCGATTAGAAATGAGCAAGCTTTCAATTATACTTTTGAATAATAATTATTCAATGTGTGAAATAAATGGTGTTCATCTTTAGTCAGCCTCACCATAGCGAGTTTTAATCAAAAGATGACAATGGATGAGGGATGAAAGCGCGGGAGAGAGACAGCTCTCTCTCTCGCGCGCGCTTTTTTTTTCTTTTTCCTTTTTCGACAAAGGCTATTTTCTGTGATTTGGGCCTTGTCCTCTTTATGACTTTGGAACTTAAAGATTTCATAAATAAAATCTTGTACTGAAGGGCAAGCCATACTTTCGGACGCGCCCTCTCGATTATATTGGATGAGATAAAACTGGAACCACAGAATTAATGGTATCTTTGTTTGACCAACGCCGCAMCGTAAATTGGAAAATATTACCATAAGCTGGTCAATACCAATATGGTAATTTTTGCTTGTTTGCTTTTGTGTCAGTGTGAGAGTGTYGCTTGTCTTTAAAAGGTTTTATTGGATGAAACCGAAAAAAAGATTACATCTAAATGATTATAAAGCCTTCTCTCTTTATATGCCGATAAAGAATGCGCAGTATCAGATTCASTTGCTTTCAACAAGAATTGAATATTCATGAGACTGGAAACAGAGTTGAAAAGAAATTTTTTGAATTGTTATTAGCCCTTGAATGAATCTATTGACCTAAGGAGTCACCAAAAAAGATAAACACGTCTCCTCCGTCGACTTTTATCACTGATCGCCAGTCAACGAGAAAAAAGTCTATGGTTGATAAGGACACGTACTGCAGTAATGACTATAAAAAATGAAATATAGTTTCACTTGAGAAATTTGAGCCTCTTTTCATTTATTTTTGCTGCGTTTTGTGTATTGTTTTCACTTCTTTCGCCAAGCGCGCGGTACCTAACCCACAGAGTGCCTGGCATTAAGATAAAGCCGACTTATTATATATTCAACTGGATTGGACAGACCAATTTAAAAAGTCTTTTCATAAATGAATAAATTTAAAAAAAATCGTTTGTTAAAATCATGTTTCTATATACGTGATAAGTGATTGAAGATATTATATGAGCACATTAACTCTTTTTTCCGGAGTATAATGTTTCTTTCTTTTGGTCTTTGTCATAGCCTTCATTTTACCTTTCTGTGTGTCTCTCAGCTTTTTGCTTCGATAAATCTCTAATAAAATTATTGACTGCTTTGTACAGATATGAGACATTTTTTTTAATGAAAACAACTGAAAAGTCCGGTGACACATGCCCCCGTAGATTGTCAGAAAATGATCGATAATATCAAGTGATCTTGAAAAGAATAAATTATTCTTTTCTCAAGTCCATGGTATTATTATGACTATAGTCTTTCCCGTTTCTATGAATGGAACGACGGAACACTCCTACAGGAGATAGCTAGAGCACAAGTCAGTAGATGTCTTCGTGAAAAACTAGAACCTAAGACCATTGTGTGAACACCAATATCCCTTCAAATACTATACCAAAACAATAAAAATGAAAACTAAGAAAAAATAATAAGAGTAAAGCAGTTTTCTTAGTTAGTAATGGATTTCTTGCACTTAAGAAGGTATTCATGTCTTATTCATTGTTTGTAAGTCAAGCTCAGAATTTTTTATTTWTTTATTTTTTTAAAGTAAGGTAAGCAACAATTAGATTTGCAAATGGTAAAAAGTCCAGGCTGATAATTTACATATTTCACGTAAAACGTTGCTACTTCCCTCCAACTCAGAATTTTTCACATTTATTTGTGAAATTGAAATGCTCTGCCTATGTAATAAAGAAATATAACAAAAACATTTCAATGAGATTTAATTTTGAAGTGAAACATTTTAATGCTTGTTTTAACCCACAATGAAGAGTTTAAAAATGACAACGACAATGCGTTTCGGCAGGTCTCGGTTTTGACTGGACGTGAACGTGTACCAAGCAAATACCAACAAAAGCCAGCCAAAAAAGAAAATTTATCACTCAAATCGTATCTTCACGACAAAAGATGTTAGTATAAGATTATTAGTCACAATCTATAAATATTGAAAAAAATCTTCGTCAATTTAACGATATACCTCTAATTGTGTGAAATTGGAAAACTACAATGATAAGAATACAAAAAGTCTCCGCATTTGTATATTGAATGGATTATGAAACCACCACTTTCAATACCACGGGAACTAAAATGAGCTGGAAGTATCTATTGAACTTCTTCATGAAAGACTATGCAATTTCACTTTTTTTGAGGATCAGTCAAAGGGAAGCGCTTCACAATAATTATTTTACTTTTCCAACAAAATATAAACAAGTTATCGGATAAAACTAAAAGCATCTAAAAATCCCCAGGAAATGGGATCCTGTCTGATTAAATCTTTAAGCTGATAAGATCACCACAGTTCATGAATATACATGTCGCCAACTTTTTTGCCTGGATTCCAGCCAAGATCATCGCAGACCAACCCGAAGAGACAGTCTATAAACAACAGATGTTTTGCCACGTGTAGGGAAAAAAATTACCCAACTAGGACAAAAATACGTCTAAAATAAGTCTATGAATCGTTGTGGAAGACTTTGGGCTATTGATTGAATGAGCTAGAAAACGAAGGCGCCAAATAGCCTTGACACAACAACGTCGGCCTATAAATTCATTTTTCTCTTAATCTTTCTAACAAATGATCACAAATGACTGTCCATATTCAAAAGAAACATTTTGTTTCCAAATTTTATTGTCTCAATTCATTGATCCTCTAAATTCTCATAATCTTCCCAGTGTTATAAAGTACCACGAATCAGTAGCACGCTAAAACAGAGAGGACTCGACTGAAAGACTCGAAACTTTATTCTCATTGAAGCACATGTGTGGCCAAAGCACAGACCAAAATGKGGCGCGTTTGATGTTTTTTTGAAAGGTTGACGGATTATAAATTTGCAATTACCCCAATCTGACAGAAGGGTTCCTGGCAAATGAAATGTCTGTCAACTCTTGAGCCCTGGAGATATTGGCTATCTCTTTGACCAGGCGCGGCTTGTGGTCACTTATCAGAGCTGAAAGCGACGCTTTTCCTCTAAACATACCAAATACTTCTCGTGATGAACATCTCTTTGGAGAATTTTTGACCATTTGTTTTGGCCAGATCCATAATAGAAGGAGTAATTTTCCAAATATTATTTTCAAACGTCACTAATGGTTTTAGTCCAACCATTGCTGGCCACGTTGGTGTGACAGGTTAGTAAGAGGGTTGCCTCACCCTGGCAAATTATAATCATTGAAACTGTGTTGAACAAGGTGTGAGATCTTTCACTTCGAACAATAGGGGAACGAAGACCAGCTTTACCTTGTTATCAAGATTGTCCAGAGTTCGTACAGTAAAATACGGTCAGGTAAAAAAGGTTCCGTGAGAAAGTGTTTGGTTTTCTTTCATCGGTTGACTTGGCCTAAGGGCAGAATTTTGACAGTAAAAGAAAAATAGCCAATGGCAATAGAATAAGAACAATGCCTTCACCTCATTACATATGCAGTCGGAATACAAAATAGTTATGTCTGTCTAGCTGTGTCAAACTGATTCTCAACTGAATTCTACGAAGTCGCACGCAACTTCAAGTTGGCAAAATTCACCAGTAGTTGGCACATAGTTGACTTTTGATTAACGTCAATAATATCTAGTAGGTGTGGATTTATAATTTGTGGGATTTTGCCGAGGTGTTTGTGGATTTTTTCGTGTCATTTCTCCTGTCGGCTTTGTCTGAACTCATCACATCAAGTCGAGGCAGCAGCCTTCCGCCGTCTGACAACCCAACTAAGCAGAGCGATGGCGGCTATGAGGTGGTTTAACCACCATTTTCTCGCCTTTTTTCATCCCCATTTACAAAGGAATTAGGAATGACAATTTTAAAGGATTTAATACGTATGCAGGATGCCTACAGAAGATGTAGCCTACCAACAACGGCTGAAAATACAGCGTACAACTCTCGGATTTGGCGTCATCCAAGTGGTCCTTGGACTTGCACTGACTGGACTCTCCTTCACAGCCTTCGTGTTGTCTGAGTCCGAAAAGATACGCAATGCTTGCCCATATTGGGCTGGATTTACGGTAAGTTTAAGGATGTTCTATTCTTGATAATCTTACAATGTATGAACGTAATTGTTGGAGCGATTCGGTGAGAATTTCATTGGAAATTTTGTGTGTTTAGGTTTTTTGTAGTGGTGGAGTGGGGATCGTAGCATGGAGACATACGACAGTACTTTCGGTGAGTAAACATAAGATCCATTCATTTTATCCCAAGGAATGATTTTGAAATATTCAAAGAAGGATTTTCTTCAGCTCTTAATTCACATTGGAGGTTGTAAAACGATTCCAAACGGACTCCCTCCTTGGGCTACGAGAAATGGTGCGCCGAAAATAGATGGTCTCACCGTGAAAACTTCATGTTATTATTTGTCAATGCTTTCAGATTTTCTTTATGGTTAGAATTGTATGTGTTATTCAATTCCGTGATGCTGTTAATCTGTTCTTTCGTTAGAAAAAATACACAAACCATTTTCTTGATTTACTGTACAGTTAAAATCCGCACTTAAACTCTTACAAAAATTATTTACTATTCGGGCCAACAAAGCTCAATTTGTCTGTATTCTAATTTTAAAGCCCTCCTTTAATTCCAAGTTCGAATACTGATAAGAATAATATTGTAGGACAGTTTCGTGTCCGTAGATGAAAGATCGGCGGTATTTTGTGGGCTATAAAACAGGTTTTCCCTACATTATGATAATTCTCTACAAATCCTTGTCTGAAAAATATAATTATTTTGTCTCGTCGAACCGCAAGGATTTCGGCCAATTTCCTGTGAATTTCCCGTTTGGAATCTAAAATGCTCTCATAAGATGTTTTATCCTTGACAAAGTGTGCCACATATTCACCAGTAAAGAAAATTATTGTAAATCTTTTTTTTTTCGTGAATTTTTGACCTGTTTTAACCCTACGTGACTTAGAAGTGTTGTAGATTATAACCGAGTTTGTGTTCCATTCATCGCCTATGTGTTAAATACTCTCAAATTTTCTCACACTTTTATTCGTGCACTACAAAACCTGAAAGCTACGCATGGATTTTGTCCAAAATTCCCTATCCTTCACTAAACAGAAAGTATGATGACAAATTTGTCTCGAAATTGATTAGCGCACACGACATGTAAATCGTAAAAAGCTTTCGTAAATCATAAATTATACATATTGTCTAGAGACAAAGTCTGCTAGCATTTTGCAAAACAAGTTTTACGACCGATTGAACATATGWGTCTTCTGAACTTGTCTAAAAGTTTGTTGATGCAATTCTATCACAGGAAGTTGTCTATAATGATTATAAGTAAAAATATTATTATACTTTGGAGAGATATAAAATAGTGATATAAAGATAATTGTGATTGCGTGTGTGTATTGGTTATCAGACAAATACTGCCACAGTTTCTCTCTTCTGACTAAAACTCCATCAAACTCGGAAAGTTTTATAAATGTTTCATAATATTCTTCTTGTAAATAGAAGCAGACAGTTAATTGGAAAAAAAGTTGACACTAATTGAATTTGGGATTATTGACTTGTGTTTATGACTGGTACATGGGCAGATCCAAATGCTGGTCATTGAATTCATCATTGAATTCATGATTTTATGAACAGACGTCAAGACAATTTATCTGTAGACGTTAACTGAATTGTTCAATAAAGTATAAAAAACTTTATAGCAAACACTTAGTGCTTCATGTMTTCTCAAATATTTCTCATTGGTGTTCATAAGATACAAACAATTTTGAACCCAATCAATCAATCAATTGATTGTTGTGGTGCAGCTTCTCCAGAAATTTTTAATGTTGTACATATTATTTATATAGGTTACATCCCAAACTATAAATGCCAAACTCGTGTGTAGGATACTATATACGATGCAACTCAAGTCTATCAAGCATGGCATTCTTTACATGAATGATGTTTGGAATCAAGTCTAATTATAGACCTGCATTATTTTTGTACAGTGAACCTTAGGGAACCTTTATTGTATATGCATGCTGCATGCAAGAATGTAGTAATTGCTATTTATAAAATTACTCTTTGCATTGTTCAGTGCCCAAAACATTTGTCACAGGAATTATCTTAAAGATGGAAAAACATAATATTGTAAATTATAATAATGATATTGACAATGACATTAAATTTCATGATATTTATAAGATAACAAAAAACTATAAGAAWTGAGGAATTTGATATCAATTAATGAATGTCTCAGCAATAATTAATATATTAATTCAATTAATATGTAATATTAATATGGTTTGTTCTTAGAAAAGTCTACAATGGTATAGCAACATTATTTTATATCAATGATATCTTGGTGTTATGCATCAGTTAACATACATGTTTATCGATGCTTTAGGCCCATTTTTCTTTAACGCCAAATTTCTTTGTTTGGTTTTAACTAAAATTTTTATTGTAAACAGCTGTATATGTATCACAATATAGAGTCATGGTAACGCCAATATGTTAGTATTTTATACAGTATTTCAGAGAGTTGTGTTATTTAATAATGCTTTAGATGCTAGTTTTAGGACTCTCAAATGGTCTTTCAAAWTTTTTTTTTCAAGGGCCCAATTTTTTTGTTATTGAAGAAGTCATGAAGTCTCAGTTGTACAGGGAAAAATGCTAGTCTTGCCATCTCACAACATCTTCACCATTCATCATCCRTGCTCTTACACTTTAGGATATGAATTTTGTCATTTCTRTTAAAAAAGTTTGAAATGTCTGATGATCTTTGTCTCATTTTCAAATRATTTAAAGTTTTACAGTGGATCATGCTGTGATTTTAATCTTCACGAAACTAATGAAGTTCAAGCAATTCATGAATTCTTATAATGCTGACTTTATTCTTTTTTACAAAGCAATAACAGCTGCAAGAGCCTTTSTTTGTACATTGAGAAATTCAAATTCAATGATTAATATGTTAGAAATTTAGTCTTAGAGACACTGGGTAAAAGTGATGTGAGCAGTTGAATGCTAAAGTTGACATTATCTGTCATAAACTTATGAATGACTGTGTGATCTGTGCCCCCTTTTTACTTTTTGACTCGAGTAATTTTATACACTGCGCGTAGAGATCTCTCCATAATAATGGACTGTATAATAAGTTTGCAGTCATTTAGAGGTATGGTATACTGCAAAACTATTATTATCTTAAAAATCGACATGGATGAGTTATTATGAATCATTTTCAGTAAAGGAGTTTTTTTTAAGTGGCTTTTCATATTTGTATGACACCATTTATGTCATGTTATATATATATTATGTCTGAGTCAGTCTKAAAGTGCAATTATTCAGTCTTTGCACACTTTGGGTATCAGCTGCGCTATTTTTAACTTGAATAGTTGTAGGATTATGTTTCAAATGTTCTTATATTTTCTTTTTTCCTTCTGAKTTTGTGATTCTTCAAATAAGGCTGTAATTTTGATACTATCGTTATTATTAACAGCAATCTTTCATTTATTCACTATTTCATTCATTTTTCCATTCTTCCTTTCTTCCATTCATTCATTTTCATTCGTTCARTTTCTAATTATCTTGACTAGTACTATTTAACAATTAGACCTCGAGGTCGAGTGGACTACGAGCTAATAGCCCTTGAGCTGAGGTCCGTGAGGCCGAATGGGATATTAGCTTGTAGTCCACGAGGCCGAGAGGTCTAATTGTTTTAGTATAAACATACTAATCGGTCAAATAATGAAAAAAATTGAAATATCCTTAAAATGATTTATAATTTATTTATTTTGATTTTCCCGCGAGTGGTCTATCACAAATTAGACCATTAGTAGAGTAGCCAATCACAGRGCAGTATGAGTGATAGACCATTAGTATGTTTATACTAAAAGTATATAGAAGCTTCAAAAGTATTCAAACATTTTTTTCCTTCATTTTCAGATGGGTCTGTTCACATTCTTCTCAGCTGTCTGTGTAGTTCTGCATATGATTGGGACTATACTAACAGGAGAGATAGGGGGACTACTCAAGTCAATCATAATGTGCCAAGACAATGTTGTTGTGCACTCTTGCATTTGTTGTGACAGCATCATGACATGCAAACAGAACGTGCCGACATTTGAGTTTAAAGGAGTTGATGACTGTGCAATTATTACTGGATTAATGAAAGAATTGATGTACGGCTTGTGTGTGTTAAACATATTTGGCTCTCTTGTTTGTTTTATTGCRACTATCCTTGGGTGTACATCTGTTGCAAGACAAGCAGGTCGAGATCAGGTAAAGTCAGTGTTCAAGAATTTTCTGGGCTTTATTTGATGCTTTAAGATGCTCTAAGACCTTGTCCACATTGATTTTGTGACYCTTTTTTACTGTTCTCAGTCCTCAAGAAAATGAAAGACAATGAAAAGGGCCGCGGAAAAAAAAAAAAAGTGTGGATGAAGTCTTAGATGAAAATTGTTGTTTAAAATTCGTTTAGCATTTTCATCCAATTTTCAATCAACTTGTTCCTTTATCTTATTCATTTATTTCTTCATCATTTTATTGTTGCGTTCATTACCTTTTCGTTTTATATTTCAGCCGTTTTTCAGACGTCGACTATCCAACCGATCCGACAGCCATGAACAAAGCCAATACTCTTGGCTTCATTATCCAGCAGAGACAAATGTCCTCCCTCCCTATGCCCCACCCATCTACAGATCAGTAGACAATGTCCAAGATTGTGGTGCCACGCCCTATATTGTACCCCCTCCTGTGTTTGACCCAACAGACCTCCCTCCGCCGTACTCCTCCAGAAACGCTTCCTTATCAAGCTCAGGCCTTTCGCTAGCTGTACAAGACTCCAGCAACCAACGTAGACGTCCCAATGACGGAGATGACAATGCTGGTGGYAGCTCGGCTGTTGTGTTAACCGAGAACGATACCATTGTTCATCATTACGAGAATCATTATCAACAAAGAGTGTACAGTGAAAACAGGGCACGACCAGGAAACATACCACAGATAACAAGTGTTGTACTGACAAGGGGAGTTATAACAGAACGATCTGGCTCTGGATTAAGAATAGAACCATCTATACAAAACGTGAACAGTTCTCAAGTATCGATTCACAGTGAGAAGGCCGAAGAGTGCCGAGAGAGTAACGAAAGCATAAATAATCTAGACAACAATAACAAGTCAAAGCAAACTTCTTTTGACACAGTTGAACGTGCAAATGAATTTATTAAATTTGAAGAGAACACACATAAAAGGAAYAGTAATAAAGAAGCGAAACGAAATGCTACCAAGACCAYTAATCGAAAAACACGGAAAACAACAGATGATGATTTCAGCTCAACGTCGGATTCTGGTATCGGGGATGAACTATCAGCTTCCATTAACACTAACGAGACATGCAGTTTAAATTCGCAGGAAATAGAGGCTGCTTTAGATAAGGACACGAATGTAACTGTAACTGACTCTGARAAGGAAAAACAGGACAGRGATTTAGAGCACMTGACTCTCTCATCGCGCGATGCTGTTTCACCAGATAGTCAACCAGTTGACGATATTGCCGGGTCTAATGATACAATAGTCAATTCGTTAGATTCTTGGAGCGAAAGTTTATTGGGTGCCTGTCAGTTAGGGAATCTTGGGATAATAGAAAATCATGYGAAAGATTCGCCAATTGTCTCATCAATGCCAAATCCAGGACTACACGATGAGCTAGTTTGCGCGTCAAACGTACATGAGATACTTGGACAAAATGTTGATTGTAATAGTGATAATATTATGAAGGAAAGCTTASTGCAGACGGTAGAAGATGCATCAGGTAATTTTGCTGAGAATAGACGCCATGAGCAACATGTTACCGAAGAAGTCATTCGTTTGATGGATGACTTTGAAGCTAATATAAATATCAATAAGGCTTGCGATGTTAGTTATGCACTAGAACCTGGGAAATCGCTGGCTTACCTAGAAGAGCCTGACGGTGAATTCGGGAGAATAAAGGACGCAGAGGCAGAATCACCTAAACGAGTTCGTCAAATGAAAGAAGTCATTCCTCCACATGGAGCGAAAGCGGAACTTCACAATTGCTCAAGGAAGGAATTGTTTAAGAAAAACGAATCAACGCTTGCTCGTTCTGATACGTGTATTGCAGTACTTCCCAAGGCTCCTCGCGAGAGTCGAACAGGATCTGACCCAGGTGTGAGCCGAGTTGGAAGCTTCGTATATCCGGGACTTAATCAATTCCCATTCCAACTCGTTCCACCYAATGTTGAACTACCCTTGGAAATACGAGAAGAAAGTATATTTTCAAACTCAAACTCTAACGAAAGCAAGCGTCGAAAAAGGCATGGCGAGAGAGAGACCTCGCGCTCAAAGAGAAGAGCCCTTGCGAGCAAAGATATGAAAGCAAAAAGCCAACAKCGAACAGCCAGAAAAGATGAATTGACAAGCATACGAGAACGACACACAAAGAGTCAAAACTCAAGGCAGAGAGTAGACATCACACGAAGTCAGAAATATAAAGGAAAGAGTCCTTCGCAAAGAGTAAGGGAAGATTCGGTTCGGAACCRTGTTCGTTTGCCGTCAAGAAGAAAAGGTAAAACTGAGCACGGGCAGAGTGCATCAAGCCTGCAAAGCACTGGTGATGTGAACCCTGCCAGTCAATGTGGCGGGTGCACAGGTAAAGAAACTATGGTATAAATATATCCTTATTGTATTTTCTATCGTCGTTYTGTGCTAAGAAAGTTGCTGCATTTATGAATTTTCCCAAAACACATGCAGTTGTACCACGTACGATAACATGGCTGGTCAAAACAGCACAAGGCATTTCATCGTTATCTAAGAGAAAATTATTAAGATCATGAAGGTATTTAACATGTTAAACAAGAACTTTTATATATCAGCAACTTTAAAAGCAAACAATCAAAAAGAAATATCTATATAATCCATTCAAAAGGCATATAACAGCTTAAACCAGGCTTCTCAAGCCCAAAATCAGTATAAGATAGAATATTTCCAAGAGCTAAAAGTTCCTCCGTAAAATATCAACATAATTTAATATATATATATATATCATATACATATAAATATATATCGTTCAATAATTATCAAAAAGAAAGTATCGTCAGTAGCTTTTAGGAATTAAATTGTAAAGGGGGAATTGGAGTAATATTAGAATAATGAGTGTTTATTTAAATGAGTTTAGACGACAGGTTATGCATTGTTATAGTAAGGTATTACTATTGTCATAGTCTATTCGTTTTCCATTTTTCAAATACTAGCTTTTATTTCTGTTTTGAGTGGGTTGGGATGAAAGGTTTTTTAATCAAATTAAACAAACTAAGATGATGGGTTTCCTGTGTGGAATTGACACAGGATTCCCAAAGAATGAAACGATCATTCGAAAGTAAGTGTTTGAATAGTCACTTGTAAAAATAGTTGAATGMCATTCCGTGCTTATTGGATTATGAGATGAGGATGCGATTTTAAAGTGTCCAGGGCTTGTYTCCTGGCTTGGACWAGGCAGGTAACTCGTYGATTATATCAGCCWTACGGAGTTACAACGTGATTTCCATATAATAGGATTTTATTTTTTGAATTTAATTGATTTTAATGGCATGGTTCAGATTGATATCCATTTTCAAAAACTTTATTTTAATTTTATACGATTTAAAGAGCAACGACAGTCTGTGCCCGTAAAATATGTTGCCACAGTATTGAAAAACCTTTGGGGTCTCCAAAATTTTAGTTCTCATTGTATTTGTCTGTAGTGCAAAAKAATCGTAGTATTTAGTATTTAAAAAGTTTTTTTTTCTGTTTCTGAAAGCTGTCAATGTTGTAAAAATAGGCGGAATTCACGCAAACACATATGACGTTASGTTGTGAAATAATTGACAGCGCAGAACAAAACAAAATTACTAAACTAAAAGTAATATAGAAATAAAGAGCAATAATTACTTGTAGTACGCTAAAGTGTTTCACGGGTTTGATGAAAAACATTCGAGAATGATATTTCGTCGACCGTGAAAAGGAAAGGGACTAACTAGCGGATTGAGAAGTCTACTACCAACTCTAAGTACTTTACTTTTCTTTCACGAGTGACGGAATCTCACAATTACGTCGCATGGAAAATCGTTTACCATATGGGTTGGACGAGTCTAATCACTCAATAGATGTGTGGCAAACTAAGAAAGAAGTATGTTCTCCATTTGTACACAGATATTTTAGAAAGCCTTGAATACTGTGATACTTAAAAGTGCATTCCAAGAATTGCAATTCAAACTRGTTAGTTGCATGTACGTACTTGGTATAACCACCAAGAAAACGGCGAAAGAACYCCCCATTTCGATCTTGGAATGCTCCATCTGGTACCAGTATTCAACATTTTCTGAACTAGTTGTATGCACYCATAGATTATTAATACAGTATATTATAAAAAAGGTATTCATCTTTAGCTATTTTTAGCTTCAAGCTTCGTACTCTCTGTTGTTTTAGACGTTTGGAGTTATAAAAAATTYAGAGATTCAAAAGAATAGTTTAAATTATTGCTCAAAGCAGAACAAGTTATAAGTTGAATTATAAATTCTAATMAAGGGAAACGTTGGCCGTTCAGATGTTATACCGGCGCTGCGTTTAGAAGTTAGGTTATCCAGGTCTTTTTACCAATCGTTATTAAAGAAAACATAATCATTGTCTGGATCATTGTGTCTTATGTGTGTGCTTCCGTCGCCCCATGATAGCCTACTCCGCAGTCATCACTAAGAATCACGGGCTTCCTGTCTTTTTTGAGAAGTCAAAAGAAGGAGAATGGGGGCGAGAAAGGAACTCCTCTTATTTTTCCTTTCTTGCCACTAGTCCCTAACGGCTAAGATGACCGTTACAAAGGAAGCCCAAAGGAGGAAAAGGAGTTGCATGGGGAGGAGGCTAGCCCCATTACACGGAATCCGACAAACGTTTTGCCCTAGAATCCGGAATCCGCGGCAATAAAAACGGAATTCTATAAAACAATTAAGAGGAATCTAAAATCCAAATTKGTGACTTCAAATGTTTTCTAATGGTAAACGAGTCACTCATGAAAAAAGCTAAGATTTTTGCATTCTAATCCAATTTATGGAACCAAYAGTCCTTGCGAAATCTATCTTGGGAGTGCTCGATAAAAATGGTCCAAAAAGGTTTGCAGAATTTGAGACCGCAAAAGGTATGATTTGATAAAGAAAACGACAAAATTACAGCGGGATTTAAAATGCATTTTTTTATTTGCATGGCAAATACAGGTAATTGTTGCATATACATTTAAAACGTCCTTACAGAATAYTATTTTTTGATTACAGAATAATTCTTACCGAGTATTAAAGTCATCTCCGTTGAATATTAATCAAAACCCCACAAGTTAATGAACAGAATCACCGGCTAGGTTCCACATATTCAATCATGCATGCATTAAAAGCTATATATTGGGAAAACAGCCACAACACGGATAACGTACCCATCTGGTTCCTCCAAAATTGAATGAACAGAACATCGTCAATTTTATATATTTGATTGTATGTCATTCAGTTCAAAGCCATATGTCGGAGGAACAGTCACCACCCGGATAACGGACCTCGTGGGCCAAACAAGGCCCATCTGGCTCCTCCCCAAAGTCCACCAAAAAGTCCCTATTTAGATACAGACCGCCATTGACAGTGTCCACGTCCACAAGGAGYAGCATCGCCCCTTTCCTGTAAGAAGAGATGGAAAATGGTCAAAATTTGTTAAAATGTAGCAGTTTTGCCCCTTTCCCCACCCTCTCCCCCAAATAAAACCCTCATAGAAAGGGCTTGGRCACGTGAAAGGAGTTTAACCCTAATAGGTCCAACTAAGTTTTCATTTTATATCAAGTTATCCTTATGAGTGGAATCCCTTCTCATATATAGACTACTCCAATATAAGACATACTTGGCGAGGTTAGGGTAAAACTGGTTGTCCCAATGACTGTACAGCGAGGTTGTGACATAGAGTCGCTTGCCGTCAAGGCTAAGTTGTATCATCTGGGGGCCACCTTCGACCTTCTTGCCTTTGACGTAGCATTCGTCAGGCTGCTGAGGGAGGTCTGGGTCATCGATGACGCGAACACCACTGTTGCGAGTAATACTACCTCCAATGAATATCTAGAATGGATAAGAACGCGCTCTTAGAAATGCCGGTGATATTGGGACGTCAACTAAGTGATCAACGTGGTACCACTTCCTTATAAGGACGTCATCCGATGTTGGCCGAGGTGCACCMTGGGATTGAAGAAAACACAGGCCAAAGCCATGTTGTTTTGGTTCAGATTGTTTTGTGAATATCAAGCACTACACTTACTATACTTATTTCTCTAAATGGTCTTTCTCTATACACTATTATATCACATTTTACTTTTCTTGCTTAAACYTTTTGGCGATCTTTGATATTTAGAACTAATCAGAAAGCATGTAGTTTTGATCAAAGATTCGCAAAGGTTGTCGGCTGCACGTGGGCCCTTAATCGCAAAAACATCCGCCATCTTGATACTTTTATCAATACCAGAATGCACTTCGCCAAAARAAAGATGACGTCATCAGTGGAAAGGAACATTGATGGGAAAGTGAAACCATAATAAGTAGACCCGAAACGGAATTGAATACATTTAGTACCTGTCCAGTAAGCTTGGGATTCTGAGGATCAGTGATGTCATACTGTCGTAAATCACCCTGTATCCAGTTACTGAAGTAAAGGTATTTATCATCCAGAGATATCAGAATATCTGTAATCAATCCTGGAGAGAGAAAACACTTCACATGATATTCTTACTCATTTGTATCACTCTGAACAGCATGATGAATTGAATTACCGCTAACTTTTACTTCAAAGTACATTCCTCCTTTTGGTTTGACTACATCTTTTCTTATATATTACATCAACACTCCGCAGTATTGAGTTTTTCCTTGCACTTTTTATGAATCCTTATTTACGAAGATATTATACTTAAAACATCTCGCACTTCTCTATCATTATTTGAATTGTTATTTGGTTAGAAGACCTTATAGAACTGGGCCCTGAACCCAGAACTAAGCCTACAACTCTTTCCTACTCGTGCTTTTTTTAAGGGAAGTTAGGATGTGTTTCTTTGAAGTTCTGATCTGGTACGATCTATACAATACATGATYGAAATCAAACCTGGCATTTCCGGGAGTGCCCAGCCTTCGACTTTCTTAGGAGGAATACTGATGACCGTTTCTTTATCCCATGTATTGTCCTGTGGTTAAACAAAAAGTCATTTCTMCATGCAATTTATCGAAAACGGCGTGCTATCGGGATGGGAACCTATTCTTGATTTACAACTGAATAAAATAATAAAACCCGACGAMTTCAGTCGAGTAAAGTGGATTTTAACTTACAGGTTTCTTGAAGAATCTGACGATTGTTGAACTGAGCGCACATCCGACATAACCTTGTGCCTGATTTGGGTCGTGCAAGAAGCGAATCTCCAGTGGAATGGTACCCACGCCAAGATCAATCGTCTGCACTTTCTCGTGTGTTGTCCAGTCCCACACGTGAATATGAGAACCATACTTGCCTGGGTACGAACAAAAGAGTTGAATAAAAGGCGTTTAATTAAAGGTATTTCATCAAAGGGTTTTTTTAAATAATATAAGGCTTTTATGTGACGAGAGAATCCGTAATGATGCCTTACCGGCCTTGAAGTCATCCATTTGAAATCCACGTTTGAAAGCGTTRGGCTCGGCCCATTCGGTACTCAACAAGACATTATGTCGAGGTTGGTACCAAAAATCATATCCCATGGGTACCCCTTTGCCATCTTTTTCCCATTGTCCTTTGACTTTGTATGTTTCACCATCAATYAGAATAAAACCACCTGTGTATTATAAAGGAGAAATTGTCTTTTTCACATGACGTCATATTTGTGTTGTCGAAATGCATCTTGGTATCGATTCAAATATCAAGATGGTGAAAGTCTTCGAAAATGAAACCTTATCCGTCGTCGAGCTGAGAATGTTTTGAAAGAACATTATATGATATTCCTGCTCACACTAGCTAGAGTTTACTAAAACACCTAAGTAAATTATTTGTAAAACATAAAAAAAGTATTGAAATAAAGCTTCAATTGGCTTCAGTTTGTACACTACGTAATCCCATAGTTCATTTCGCTGAAATTCARATGACGTCATTAAGGGCAAAACTAAAGGAATACAAGAAGAAGACGTGGCCAAATGAGGGAGCAGTCGACTTGATATAATMAAGTGTCWAAGGTTACCTCTTGCTGTGCCATCCACATTACCCAAAGTACTAATCATGATCTCYCCGCTGCCAAGACAGTGTGTCGTATGGGGGACCGAAGCACCAGTTTTAGAAAACACTTCCTCTGGCTCAATAATCTGAGATAGCAAAAAAGAATAGRCATGGTTTATACATTCTACAGTTCAGTTTTGAATATATACGCCTTGATCTGGGGAACGGTATTAATCGTTTTCAAACATTGCCATGATGACATTCATYAAGAATAGATACTAATGAGAAATCCTTTGCTGAAGTTCCTCCAAGATGGCCGCTGTGAAAACGAAGAATTCTTTGTGCAATATACRTCACATCGGCCATCTTGGTTGAACTCCAACACAGGATTTCTCATTAGTATCTATTTTTCATTCAACCAACATGGCCGTCTTTTAAGTCTTTTGAATCTCATGGGAATGARTGAAAACGKGCAATCCCAAAACATGAATTACGATGAAACTGAATAAAGCTACGACCATGGTTACCTTATGAATACGCGGAGCCCGTTGATCTGTCCCTACATCAATGGAGTATATCCGTGTGGACATAAACCCAGGCATGATGAGACGATTACGCTTTTTAGATGAATCGCCAAAGCAACTACTGCAMGCATTCCAACCAGTATGATGCAATTCGTCGCCAATGTAAGGCATGTGCAGTCGATGGATAACCTAAACGAGAATCAATCCACAATTTGMAAACGGATGGTGTTAGGAATGACTAAAGCGTTTTCTTTCTATCCCTTCGTTTCAATTGCTGCTCAATTATAATTCTCGTAGAACTACTGGTATTCTTCTATTTTTTCTATCATTTCTCATTTCTATCCCTTTAGTTCCTCGGCTAGATTTATTTTTAATGTTTTCCTTTCTTCTCTTTAATCCATTTTCTTCTTCCGAACATTTCCGTTCATCTCATTCTAGTTCATTTCATTTCAGTTTTTTTCCCGCTTACCTGACTGTACGTTGGAGATTTTGGATCCACATCGACCGTACAAAGATAATCCGGCTTYTCAATCCCCGTATTACTATGAATACATGGAAGATAAACTATCTGTTCACGTGGTCCAGCCATGGCGTCCTTGGGAGTAGCATAGCCCGGTCCATGTTTGCAATGACCTGTAAAGGTAGAATAGAAGATGCAGCGACGCCATTTTGTGCAGCAATGCATGATGGGATCTTGCGGTGTTTGCACTTTTTTATGTCCTCTAAAACAGCTCTTTCTTGSTTTTTCTTTGCAAAAATAGACAGAGTTGTGCCGTTTTCTACACTTTTTAAGGAACTATGACAATAGTGTGAGGACTACAACCCCCGTCCCGCCATGCTTTGTTGTACGAAACATACAACTTAATGAAATCACTAAAGGCAACAAGTTCTTTAAGCCGAAGTGCAGAATCAACTTTCCGTAACTCTGGCCCGCGCGTTTCATGTTAACTGATTCACTCGCCCCTTAATTCACTTTTTGAATAAAAGAACCAACCCCATTCTCCCATGGAATCCTATACCAAAGTACAGGAATCCCATGAGTATTATATACCTACCTGCAATATTACGCACTCTGTCGGTGGCCTGCATGTCTACTTTCGATTCTTCAAATATGTGACCTGTTATTTTAAACAATCAAAACCTTCCTATWAATCTTTTGTAATAAATTCATCAATTACAAGGGCGGCGTTGACACTAAAAATGTGGACAAACAATAGATATATAGCTTGAACAATTTCAATTTATATTACATCCCTATGTCTTTTCAATTAGCTATTCATATTAATTAAGCCTGGTTTCCATATAATCGTTACAATCGCTAGGATCGCCACGATCGCCGGAAATTTCAACGATCGTAGCGATCATATGGAAACACTCTCCAGCGATCCTGGCGATCCTAGCAATCTCGATCGCTGGAATCGCTCAGATTCTATCTCGGCGATCGAGGTCGTTAGGATCGCCAGGATCGCTGGAGAGTGTTTCCATATGATCGCTACGATTGTTGGGCCACATTTCGGGCGATCGTGGCGATCCTAGCGATTGTAACGATTATATGGAAACCAGGCTTAAGCTTAAACAACAATTTGCTTTTTGTGTTATTATCTGTTGATATCGAAGTGATTCGTGTTCTGTAGAATCAATCTTGACSGGAGAGAAGTACATCACTAGCTAACTTGCCAAAATTTTAGGGATTCCGTGTCATGAGGCGAACTCACGCATTCATGCGATCGTGACCACTGTCGCTTTTGTGATTGTATTTTCTGAACAATATAAACAGTTTGTCGTTGTTGTCTGACCATTAGATATTTGTAAAGTTTTGTCTCTTCATTTCATATTATTTCGATCGCTTTTTGGAATGAAATGTTATTTGATATTGTAACTACTCGTTTGGAGCTCTTGAACACCCCATTAGGGAATGGCCATTAGATGTTTGAGGGAGTGGGCTGGATGATTTTATAAATAATATTTTCCTGCACGGCCCGAAGGGACGGAAATAATTTCTACGAGGCGAATTTTTTTTATGCGCTTGTTCAGGGTCTAAATAGAATTTCTCCACCGACCAAATAATCCACCTCCCCTCTCTCCCATCAAAAGTCAAATGGCTTGCACCTTATCTGAAAAACTTTATATTTTGTTAATAACTCGAGAATTTAGAGTTCTATGAAGTTCTATGAAAGCAGTTCGTTTCTGCTTAAAAGAKCAAGCACTCGCATTAGTTTGCGAGAGTTTATTTTTTATAACTCGTGATTTTACTTTTACTATTCAGTCAAACAATCGAAATTATAATATACCTTTTATCGGGTTTATTATTTATGCAAATTACGAGGTGCCAATAGTCTCTACACGTTGAATACACAATTACCCTTATTTTGTTTAGCGACTTGAGCAAAATGTCCCATTTCCYAATTTTCTTGATCTCGAAATTTCAGTAAACAACAGAAACCGACCTCGAATTACGAAATAAACCGTTTACTATATCTCTTGCACACACGGCGATCAATAAATCTACAACGAAAACATAATTGTGTAGACAATACATTCATGTGTATGGCTGCCCCAATTAAGTTAATTTTTGGACAAACGGTCACGAAAAGGCACGTCGACTTGACCTGCATTGAAATATTTTGATACATGGTCTATATATTAAGGACTTTTGCATCAGAATATATACTTATTCAGCCATGAAAATGGAGTCTTAAAGCTTGCTGTAGAGCACGTCATGTTATACATTAACAACAGTTTCGTCGAGCAAAATAAACTAACTAGTTTAGATTAATTACAGCTAAAATATCAAAAGTCCATATCAAAACGTATTAATGATTTAGACGTCCTGTGTTGTTCAGGCACATGTCGCACAGTGTACGTTCGTATTTCATTACTGTATTTTCGCTTGAATCAAAGTTCCATGATTCAACCACAATACAATAACATTTAAGTCTACTACAAGGTTGTTAACTCGTCAACTGGGCTAAACGTGGAYTAAAAAAGGCAAAATTTACCTCGTTTAGTGACTCAGCAAGAACGTCCCTGGATAACTCTCAAAAGAAAGACTTTGAACCTATTTGGCACAGGAAACCCGACACGCAAAWWAAKC